GGCTACTAAAAATTCGATGTGGCTACTAAATTGACTACTAAGTTTTTAAAAATGTGGAAACTCTGTATCTTTGTCCCAGAGAACGATCCGTCTACTCGAGCTCACGTGTGTATTGTGGCTGACACTGATTGCGTTAACATAATCAGGGCCGTCACAGATCAGTGTGCGCTGTACGACTTTTGTCTAAGTTGTAAAGTCAATAATCAAGCTTCAGGTGGCAAAAGGTGTTATAATTCTTGTACAATACTGGACAGTGGGGTCAAGTTAATTGGATGACCCGGCCCATTGACGTTGAGAAAACAGTCTGATAAGCGAGTCACACATAGGTGGTCTCGCACACGTACATTTGACGGCGCCGTAAGTCGATCTGATAAACTCGTGCAAACACCGCATCCAACAAATGAATAGGTTCAGTATATTTAAATTAGTGTACATGGTATTCATTACCTTTTCCAGTACCGTAGAAAGCATAAATACGTCCGATATGCTTGATTAGAAAGTATAAGTATCGCCTTGAAACACCATGTCAAAGTGCCGATTTTCGGCCTTTCAGATCACTTCAAACGATAGACCCTATATCGTATCTGACTGTGTACCTTCGTGGTTAGACGTTTTAGAATTTCAAGTGATCTAGAAAAGTTATTTAGCATCGCAGTTATGCGGTTTTTAGAACAGCAAACCGTTCAGAATTACTTCGACGTTCGCATGTATTAGGTGCCAATCGACGACACGTGCACGGGAATGGCCAAGTTGCGCGAAGTGATGTGCTCCCGATTTATTTCGAAGGGTTTGTCAATACCGTTATAAATTCGTCCTTTTCTTTCAACTGTGTTCTACTGCCATTTACATTTGAAATGTGTGATCTTTTTAAATATATTTATGTATTTTTTTTAATATAAAACATGAATTACGGAAAAATAATTATCAAAATTGCATCACTGAGGATACTTTTTGTTTGGATTTTATTTGTTTTATTTTTTGATTGAAGGCACGGAATTAAAGGCGAATAATATCTTAAAATTTAAACTTTTCAGCCTAGATTTTTTCACAATTCCTGTGTCAAGAAATGAGATAAAGTCTGAAAAAGTCTCTCTTTTGAAAAAAAAATAAAAAAAAGTTCTGGTTGAAATTTTCAGCATTTTAATTTAAATCATATTTTCTTAAAATTACAGCCATAAAATCTGAAAGGATTAAAAAAATATCACATTATGAATAAAATTACAAACATGATGTATAACAAAAAATTTAATTTAACAGAGTACTCCTTAATTTAACATCATATTGAATAGTTGCACTTCAAAAAATGTTAAATATTTAATGATTTTAATGGAGGGCCTATCCGTAACGGTCGGAGGCCGAGAAAGTATGGCCTATGTTTTAAAAAAAATGGCTACTGAAATTCAAACATGGCTATTTTTTTGGCTACTGATTTTTTAGGTCCAGGGTGAGCCCTGCTAAAGGCCCTCGGCTATCTCAGAATCATCAATTTTAAAATAGTAACCTGAAAGTAGTTCACAGATAAGCCCTACCAAAGCTTTAATACTAAACTTTTACACTAGGGGAGAGGCTAATTTGAGGAAATAAATGGTCAACAAAGGGCAATAGTTATTGCAAAACATGTAAAATCAATTTGCTGCTCAAGAAAACACAACTCACATATCATGATTATAAAACCTACAGGGTTTCAAAGAGTTCATAAAAAAATTGTAGGAGGGTATCTCCAGACAAAAACCAAATACTTAAATAAACAGTCAGAATTTTTGGCAAAAATTGTCAAATCAAAATGCTGCACAGGGAAACAACTTTATATCATGAATATAAAGCGTGAAATTGGTTGAAAAAAATCGGCGGAGATCTCTGGACAAACAAAAGTTTACAGCGGACAGACAGACAAGGCCACACCATTTACCTAACTCCGTTACAGCTATGACTCTAAAACGTCTGGTAACTTTCAACTGTACAATGCTATCTGCTTCTCCACAGGGACATGCTCCTGGAAATACTGGCAAGTAACGCTCTGACAAAAGATTGGAAAAAATAAAAAGCTATTTTAAAACAGCTTCAAAAACTTAATTAAACGCAAAAAAGGGTATTTTTCTTTCAAACACATATTTTGAAAACAGGATTAACTCAAATCACAAGTATAAAATTTATTATTCAAATTGTAAAAACATATTCCTCCCACAACAGCTATGTGTTTAATAACTGCGAAGCCATGTCAGAAATAGCATAAACGCCTGCCACAATTTCATCTAATCAATGAGAAGGTGGTTTATCATTTTTCCAACATTCTGATTGGCTGTATGTTTTACCTTCACCCTGGCATTATGTTGCAACACCATAATAAGCATGAACCGACATTATGATTGGCTGTCATTTAACCTTTCCCATGATGGTCTAGCGAGACATCACAATTGTAAATGCCCAATTTCAACAGCGCAGCTCAAAATGTGCTGTTTCTTTTGTTGGAATATTTCATAGAATTGTGTAATGAAAGAGAGTTTTATCCCAATTTTTAACATGTTACCATAATTTTTCCAGTCTCCATGATTAATTTTACATTTTTAGCGCCCAGCGTGTGTTCATGCATAATATCTGAAATTAATCAACTTGATTGGAAAAAATATGGTACATTGTAACACACCGTCACTCATAAGATAGACTTTATTTTTAACATACAAAATAATCTCACTGTAGGCAAGACTTGTCATAAAATGCTCTCTAATTCACTTCAGGATTTATATTTGGTTTGACTGATTTCCTTGTCTTTGTTAAATTACAGCTGTCTAAGGAATTAGATCTTCAAAAAAAATCTTAGCAGGAAAGTATACGTATAGTAGCGTAAAATAACTGTTACACATGAATTGAAGTTAGAAGCAATTTACCGACATCCATTGCTGTCCCAGCATCGACTAACTTCCCTTGAAGTGGTTGTATGTATGCCCAATGATTGCTAACTATTGTCTCCCTGTCATGCAATCCATTGGAAATATGCTGTGCATCATCACACTTCTGGCACAAAGTCTTCCTGCATTGTGTACATCTGAAATTACATATTACATTATTATACAAAGAACACAAATGATATTTTTGGTTTATCAATAAAAAAAATAAAAAAATACTAAAGGGCTCAACATTGAAATGTTTGTATATTTCCATCACAATTTAAAATAATTCTGGTAAACTGTTTGGGTTAAATGACCTGGTGATAACTATGGTGATTTGTCCAGTTCTTTAACTTGGATAATGGACACATCATATTTGAAAATATTTTTAATCTACAGGGTAGTTTATTTTTGAGGGGTCCCACAATTAGCTCTGGCAGTCGTGTGTTACACAGGTAATTAGGAACTAAAACCATGGCGTCATTCAGACTGTTTCTGAGTTTAGTGTGACAACTGTAACAGTTGTTACTTAAGATGACTCTTCACTCTTAGGCTGATAATTTATATTCTAGTTTTCAAAATGTGAATGATTAGAGTTGGTATGCAAGAGAAAAAATCCCAACATCGACCATTTTTAGATTTTATAATGCGTTAAGTTTCATACACAAATCAGACTTTTTCTCGAGTTCTGTTAATTTTGCATATTAACGAATAACAGCACGTTGGTCACACTCAGAACATTCCATTGACACATTATTTGAAGGGGATAATCTCCTAATGTATGCCTCAAAAAAAGAAGGACGGCACTTCTCCCAGTTTTGAGACTCTCTTTCCTTTCTTTGTTCCCATTGTGATAGTTGATGACCAGAATTTATTTCTAAATTGACCATCACCTCCGATATCTTTTTTTAAAGTTTTTGTACTAAAAAAACCCACACAAAAACAAGCATACCGAGTATTTCTAAAGCAATACATGTTCCCTACAGGACCCCACAAGCTATTACACTGTAATGATTAATAAACATGGCACTCTTCGTTTGGTGCTAATTTGGGAAAATGAAAAGTATACATTGAGCTTGTAAGAGATTTTAATTTAATAATACTAGAAATTGTAATGGTTGTATTTTGACTGAGGAATTATAAAAAAGCAGGGACGTATACTCTATATACTGTCCCTGAAAAAAGGAAACTGAGGTTTTTGAAAATAATAACGGTGACCTTGACCTTACAACCCTGAAACTTGTACGCATGTAATCTATAGGATGTGATGAGATGTCCATACTGCAATGCAGCTACATTCCAGGGTTGGTTGTAATAACATGTACACTTTTTGAGAAACTGACTCGCTAAACACAATTTTTTAAGTCCAGATTCCCAGCATCCCTAATTAGCAGAGTCACTGGACCATGAAGGTCTGGATGATCTTTCCAGTAATTCAGAGAGATATCAAAAGGAAGTCCCAGTAAATAGTGACATGGATCACTATTTAGTGTGACAGTTCAACGGTGCAATTAGAACTATTCAAGACGGAGCATGCGTTTTATAATCCTATGAACGTCTCTGATATAATGTAAACTTTACCAGATTGAATGTAAGGGTGAATACACCCTCCCGCAAAGAACAATGATACAGTGAACGATAACGATGTATTAACCACAATTTGTACATTGCATACTTTTCTTATTCTTAATTTTGTATTATACACTCTTTTGAGGGATAAAAGCGGAATGTTTGATATAAAGTGGCTGACAGTTAATTGTTTATATGTTAGAGGTTGTTGAAGCGTTGCTATTTTATGTTGATTTTTTACGTTAAAACATGTATACATGTAGGTGCATTAAATGAAAACTTTTATTACTTAGTTAAGGTAATCACGGACTTAGATACATGTAATCTAATTCAATGCGAGGTTTTCCGGATTTTAGTGTGTCCGTTGTCGGCTTCTTAAATTTTATATTAAAATCTATTTTCTAAATGTCTCAAAATAACTGGAATCTATTTCTAATTTATAGTTTTGTTTGATTCCGTAGCGAACGGTTGATAAGATAATGGGCAAGAATTTAATCCGTGTCACGAGGAAGCTTACGATTTTAGAGTAGTCTCCCTTGTATTGAACTTGACCTTTCTAGACTCGAAAACGTTATTCATAGTACACACCTCTCCAACGTCATAACTGAGCAGACCAGCGGAACGGCGACCTCATCAGACAACATGTCCTGTTTTCCATATTACGCTAAGGGAGAGGTGATAAAAGGATTTGGTAGAGGAAGTAAAGAGCTTGGAATACCGACAGGTAAAATTGACAGATCCTTCTGGAAATAACTTGCTGTCGATATTATTGATATTAGATAACTCGATAAGAACATTTCGATTTCATAATCGCTGTGTCCATGTGTATTTCATAAGTTAGATTTATAAATAGATCTGCATTTACAGACTTATAGTAACCAATTTAAGAAATATATTCTGATTCTGGTCAAATCTTCTTACATAAAACACGTGGACATGCTAGTCTAGTACCTCCTCATTTGGGCGCATCATTTAATAATAATCAAATCCAGTTTTTTTACATTCTGACTGATTACTGATAGTTTTAATATTTCATAAGTATTTCATAATCATTTTGACACCGATTACAATGCTGTCACAGTGACATTTGAAAGTCACATACACATTATATGTTATTCATGTGACGTTTTTGTGATGAAAAGTGTTTGCGGATGGCCTATTATACTACAGCTTTATACATTATCATTGAACACCATAAATTATTCAGGATAAAACCCATCACCTAATTAAAAAAACAAACAATGACAAGGTAATAGTAATGTGACCATTATACCGGTGTAACAGGAAAGAGAATAGTGTGCTTCCACCGGGGATCGAACCCTGGCTCTCCAGGTTCCTAGTCGAACACAGACCACTGAGCTAAAGGGAAATTTCCTCTAGATCGCAGCTAGAAGGCGACCGTAATCCTATGTACAATCAAAATATGCCACTACTCCCCCCTTTTTAAATGTGTTCGGCCTCGAACACCTCAACCCAGGTTCTAACTCCCTGTCACCACAGGAAGGGCTCAGATACCATTTGTAACAGGGAAGAAAATTTCCTCGAGATTGAAGCTAGAGGGCGACCGTAATCCTATGTTCAATTAAAATCTACTACATCGGTAAGTGAGTAATAGTGGATGCTTGGAAGGTACATGTGCTGATCGGCTATTTTTATCAGATATTTGTTGATAATAAAGCTGACCATATTAATTGAATAAGCCTCTAGCATTGTTAGGACACAGATCTATCAATTAAATCATAAATATAAATATAGGGTGTATTGACAGTTATTACTTTAAGTCCCCTACAGTCGATTACTTTTGATGTTTCATGCTGTAGATCGTGATGTTTCCTGATCAGGAAATCTGGGATAAGTTACATCGTCAAAGGACTAGTAAATAATCTATTCCTGTGGAGTACCAAGCAAAAAAAATTAGTGTCTAACCACAGCGGCACGCAACTACTATTAATATTGATCTTGTTAGACTTTCAGCCACTGGGTACGTTATAAGTATAAAAAAAACCCACTCTTAATAGTAGTTGTGTGCCCCTGTGGTCTAACCCTGTCATCTGTTCACAGGCATATTCTGGTCAAACAGATGTTTATGGGAAATTGAATCCTCAGATAATAGATATTGTGAATCAAAATGGATATTTTGTTTACATTTTCAGTGTATTATATAACTCCAGAGGGGGCCAGCCCCAAAAGGTTGCCTCATATATATATGTCACTTGAAACAAAACTGTAAAAGTTAATGCTGGATGAATATTTATACCAGGGCCCGTATTCATGAAACCGTTTTTATGCTCAAGCATGGATTCTGTGCTCAAGCCACTTTTCTTGTAACTCACCTAAATCATGTCAACCATCAAAAAGTCAAATTTAAATATTGAAAACAGTATTCGACTTATCAAGTCCAAGCCATAAGGACAGGCAAAAAATATATATGTGTTGCTGTAACATGTTGGAAAAACATAGGTTATATATATATATATATAAGTAGGTAGTTCACAAATAATATTATATGGTTTATATATAGGAGAGTGCATGGTCTTGACTTAAATAGTGCTTCTTTGAAAATTGCCTTTGAAAGTTTAGGGTAGGAAAAATAATTAGATATGTAAGGTTACCAGAAACACCTAATATTTTTTGTTTCGCCTGAAAGACAAAATAGTAAGATTTATCCATTTATAACTATAATTTTCATAAAATTTGTAATTTATTCAGATGATTGTTAAGGCCCACAGGTCTCTTGTTGGTTGACCAAAATATAACTACTATTACACAGTCAGAGTTCAATCTAGGTTTTTGGGGAATCTACCCTTTTTCAGATTTGGGGAAAATCAAAATTTTGATACAAGGCTCTAGCGCCATGAAGATGTTTTGTCCAACACATGTGTGCAGTATATTTCAATTTATAAATAATTCCAGAGACATATTAATATATATATGTATGTAATATATATGTCTCTGATAATTCTTAGCTGAAAATTGTAGAATTTTGTTTAAATTATGTGATGAAAATGTATATATGCAGTATTATGTATTTTAACTTCTGAACTTTAAAGAAAACATATATAGGAGAAATAATGTGAAGAAAAACCACTATTTTCTTTCTGAAATAGGGGAATTTTGAAGCACATATAGGGAATTTCAAAAAACAAGGGAATTTTCTTCTGTATGGGAAACTACCCTTAAATGGTAGTGAATCAAGTCTAGATTGATCCCAGACACTGTATACCATTAGTCATGTATCAAAAACAGTTACAGTCTCTGTGTCTGTCTGATAATTAATCATGAGGTACAAATTTGTTTTCTTTATAGAGTGTACAATGTATTTTAAGGTCAACGTGTGTTTGACCATGTAGGGTATTAACCCCGGATTTTTATACTGACACGTAAGCAGAGGTACACTGACACTACCAGTATTTTTTACCAGAGGGTCATGAGGTCGACAAAGTAACCATTTGTAGCCAGTCACCCATGACTGACAGCTATACCTAACAGCCAAAACTTTAAAGTTTAATTCTCACAAGTAGAAATAGGGTGGCAGAGGTGAAAATGTCAAAAGAAGTATATTTACTCTTAATTGACAAATTAATAGTAAATGTAGATAGGAAAATGTCATAAATCTTTAAAAAAATCTAACTTCATTAGAATTAACATTAGTAAATATGACTGGATAACTTCCACTTGAAGGTGATAGGCAATATTTATTATGCAAATTAGTAAATGTAAGACATTTTGACAAAAAAACATTTTAAATAGTCTGTTGGGGAAGCCGTTGTCTCAAAGGTGATTTTATGAGAGAAAGGGTTACAACAAAATTGATTTGCTGTTAAAGAGCTTTTACCTTTCAGTCAAATTATCATCACTTCATTTATCTTGATGAAATAGTTCCCCCAAGGGTAATATGATTATACTGTGACATGCTTATTTTAACAAACTGAAATTTTAGCGAATTATTAGAAATTTAACAGATTAGTGCGTTGATGATTTGGTGCACACATAATGTAGTTAAATAAGATGACCACTAAAAAATGTATGGTTACTATTGACACTAATAGAATCTTTCACCCCCAGGGCGATCTCAAACCGAGGGGTTAGATTCTTAAGTTGCCAAACACGAGGCTTGCTGAGTGTTTGACAGCTTAAGAATCTTACCCCGAGGGTTATTTTTCTCTGACCCTGTTTACCCTCTTATCTATATAATATTGCCGTTCCATCAGTGCAAGACAATGTTGATATGATGCGATTGAATTGTAGACATGACATCATTGTATTGTTTCCGTGACGTCATGATATTGTTGCTTTGACGTCATGCAATTGTTGAGAACGTGCAAAGAGCACGTGTAGCTTGTCTCAACCCTAGGGTGAGATAAGAAAATCTCATTCCGGTAAAATGGTGGATATCCCTGTCCAGGGTAAGAGAATAACACATCTCGTGCCCCGGTCACACATTCACAGATGTACAACAGTTTGACTATGGAAAGGGGCTAGTGACAACAGGGAGTGATGCGGATTGCTATGGTTCAGTACGATTAGTATGGAATGACACGTGTCACGGCGTATGCACTGCCAATTAACAATGGTTCTCTACGATTTTAGTACGGGTTAGCACGAATTAGAACGGTCTGGCACAGTTTATTACGAACTCGAACAGAGCGCTGCAGACCTGCCAGGGTAAGCAATCCGTATACGAACTCCCATGTTCGCGTGTTCATTCCACAACTTAATATTGATCTTATTCCGGGTTAGTGTACGTAGTTCACCGTTACTAACTATACCGATCCTTGGCAACTTGAGGCTTGGGATGTACTACGAATAAGTACGGATAATTACGGTTTATTACGGACTACGAAGGATAAGTACGTTCTACTACGGATCAGTAAGGATGTACTACGGTTGTCTGATCCGTGGTGAATTTTTGAACATGCTCAAAATTTGTCACAGATATACAAGTACTACTACGATTGACCCAGGATATAATACAAACAGCTACGGACCACTACAGATTGCCAAGAATGATGCCAGATCGTATCCGTGGCTAATCCGGCGTCCTATCCATAATTGTGTGATTGGGGTCTCACCTGGCTGGTTAAGGTCCATTTCTGTTGTGACTTCGAGTGAACCAACACTAAACAAACAAACCTATACAATTGGTTCACTAAAAAACAAAACTGAAATATTACTAGACCATTTTATGTACATTACACTTAAAGGGGCTGGTCGGGGGGAAAAAAACGGGTCTAAATGCGATCTCTGGCCTTCCAAAAGTTATACCACAGCAATATGATGGTCGAGTTATGCTTGCACTGTCCAGTTTTGACCACTGAAATATCGGGGAAGCCCCGGGTAAATTTAGCGCAGATCTATTTATATATGTCACGTGGTTGTTTCGAAAGTGAGGCAGTGAAGATAACAACAATAGCACGCCCTCATGTGCCATGTCGGACTCAACTAGCGGACAAGACAGTAATACTATATGTAAATAACTGTTTTCAAAGGTCATGCATGATGCAAGTGCAGTTTTCCTACCTATATGTTGTTGTTATTTGTAACGGTATTGATACCTCATGCCTGTCATGACTTTTGCATGCATCTTTTTCTTTCGACGCGATGTTTACATTTGGCCTTGTTGATGACGCGCGTGCGGTGAAATTACATAACTGATCTGGGTCAATTGAGAGTTTTAGACTGTCAGGTGACGATTTAGGATTTCTTTAATATAATTATAATTTTTACTCTTAGGGAGTGAATTTCAGCAAAATTTGTATCGATATATTTCATAAGAAGGTATTTTAAACATGTGTATGCCATTTTAGCAAATATGACATTTTTTCCCCGACCAGTCTCTTTAATTGAAATATATCATTCCCGATGTTGGAGTGAATTGTTTTAATATCTAATTAAAATGAAGTACAACTGTACATTATTAGAGAACTGTTGTATTTTTCAGCCAATTTCCCAGAAGATGTGGTAGAGAAACTACCAGAAGCTATACAGGGGGGCGTGTACTACGGCTGGGCCAATGTAGATAATGGACCTGCCTATGAAATGGTGATGAGTATAGGAAACAACCCGTACTACAATAATGAAAAGAGGTCAATGGTAAGTTCAGTATTTGAAGTGGCATTTTAATTATACATACTTTTTACCAATGAAACATGTTTATACATCATTGATGTGGTAGAAAAGTTTTTAAGCAATGAAAGGTGCTGTTATATCAATGATGTTTTTAGAAAAGTTTTTAACCAATGAAAGGTGCTGTTATATCAATGATGTGGTAGACAAGTTTTTAACCAATGAAATGTTATGTTACATTAACAGGTTTTAATCTTCAAATGTGTTGTTACATTAATGATGAGGTAAAGAAAGTTTTAACCAATGAAATGTGTTGTTACATCAGTAGGTAAATTTTTAACCAATGACAGGTGTTGTTATATCTGTAGGTTTTAACCAATGAAAGAAGTTGTTAAATCAATGATGTGGTAGAAAATGATAGAAGTATTTGATTATTTATGATGTAGATTATTTTGGTGTAAAAACTACCACAGCTTGTATTATCTTATTTCCAGGAAACCCATATAATCCACACATTTAGTGAAGATTTCTATGGTAGTACACTTAAGACAGTCATGCTGGGCTTTATACGACCCATGAAAAACTTCTCCTCTTTAGGTAAGTGTTTGGTTTTGAGTTTGATGGTTTATGCATCTCAATTTACAGACAGTGATAATGGCTTTTCTTTGCCATACACTACGTATATATGATTAAAATATTTTTACTGTTTTTGACCCAATAGATCATTGAGTTCCCCATTTTTGGTCAAGGGCATTTTCCAAACTTGTTAGCTTTGTAATAGTTTTGGAAATAGATTTGACCAAAAAATGGGAAATGTTTTGATTATATGTACAGGATATTGCAAAAAACTGAGGAAACTGCCATTTTGAAAATATCTAATAATAATAATAATAAAATTCATCATTTTTACTTTGAGTTTAATTGCTTCAGTCTAAAGAAAAGATGAAATGTTAAAATACTAATTTCTGATAACAATCTTAACTTGTTTTAAAGCAGTGTTAAAAACCCCATTAAATTTGGAAATAAAGCATTAAATATAAATTAAAAAATAATCTAGTGGGAACAGGTCGTTTTACTGGATACTATGGAATCAGAAATCACTGTTCGGCCTGAAGGTACTAGAGCATGTTTTCTTTATTAATGTATTCAGTTGAATATTTTAATGTGCGATATACCTGTGCTTGAACGCTATGTGTTTTATTCACAAGCTCAATTTGATTGTGAATGTCAGGTCAAATATCATGTGTACTAGTAATGCCAGTGACCTTTGACTGCCGTAAATGCAGGGAGCTTGTACATCAGGCACAAACTCAGGGATTTAAGATTTTTATTACTTGTCTGTACCAGGCCGTCGTCTTCATATGGCCCTGGCTGGCACGAGGATGTTAAATCATGATAAAGAAATCTCTAACAGACCATGGTTCATATGTAATGAAATGTTCTGTTCAGTTGAGAAATGAAAATAAATTACAGTGTATATGTCTTCAGGCTGTCCCCACTGTTTAAGCACATATAGATATCAGATTATATAGCACATATATATATCAGATTATATACACATACCACTAATGCTTGTAAATGCATCTGACAATGATTAAATATTGACATTTTTGATAAACAGCTGGTCCAGTTTTAAAATCTTAGAATTTATTTAATTAAAAAGTAAGGGCAGGGTATACGTAGGAGAGCTGTTTGAAATTTGAGGTTTTCCTGTGGTATTTAAACTTGACGTATTTACTAATCTACATTAAGGATACCAGGCTGTGAGTTACAATAAACATGACATACAAATATTTCTGCTTACAAACAAAGTTCAGGAAATAAAAGGTGGCTGCATAGTCGATGTCCCAGACTGATCAATGCTGTAAAACTGAAATAAAGCTTGATGTTATAAAAAATGTCCAAAAAGAATTGTATTATCAAGTTTTGAACAGCCATACTCAGTTAGATAGATTACATTTGGCCTGTAGTTTAAAGATCACAATTTTGAGGAATAATTCATACTTGCTAACACTCTGAAGTTTTCAAGGGTAGTATTCTTCATGCTCAAACATTAATCATAAATAAAACGTGTATATGTGCCACCTAGAGACAAAAAATTACATACTTTGAGCTGATCTTTTAAAATGAAAATCATCAGATCTTGGAATATATATAGGAATGGATCATATTTGCAGCATGGCACCATGCTCCTATAATTTCTTGCTATGTTGCTATCCTAGATCTTCTCTGCTATATATTCATAGTAAATCTAAAGTTACCATGCTGCTTTGATTTTACATAGAGTGCTGCTTTAACAGAAATATTGAAATACCATGCTTCTTTCAAAAAAATCTGGGGAGAACACTGTAGATTGCAAGTTCATGGATTAGAAATATCTAATTTAAGTGTAAAAAAATCCAGAGTCATGCTCCAAGATCAAGTTGAATAGCACGGAATATGTATTTGACACTTTATTGTGAGATATCTTTATACATTGTATTACAGTATTTCAAATCAACATGTTTTCCTTTTACTTTATAGATGAACTAGTCACAGAAATCCACGCTGATATACTGGCAGCCAGAGAAAACTTAGAACTTCCTGAAAATTCCTCCCACAAACACAACAACTTTTTCTTCGGAAGTGACCAGAAACAATCTTGATGATTGGCTGATGTGATAGCCAATCATATATCTTGTAACATTTTCAGATGTAGGGGAGAACAGATCCTGGTATCATTCATTAATAGGACACAATCAATAGACTCCTTGTTACATATGCCCCTAGGATAAATATATGGACCAATCATTGGAGATCTGTTATAAACTGTGACTGTCATTGTTATACTGATGTGTTGTGCATCTAAAATAGCTAACTTGTTGTAGTCTTATTTATCATTTAACTATTCATCTTATCAGAGCAATGAAGTGCCATTTATAAATAGTTGTTGCTGTATTTAAATTAACTGGGAGGTTAAGAATTAGTGAGAACATAAATTAAGCAGACATAGAATGACTTCACCAATGATATGTTTTTTCCAGTAGAATTAATATCACTTAAGGCTGTATGGTATCTTACAGTGACACAAATCTCCATTCTAAGAGAGTTTCACTCTAAATAATCTGGTCAGATAGATACTTTTGATCGTAATTTCAAAGAACATGACAAACATGCATTAAATTGGGAATATGTTCCTCAGTTTTTGGTCATTTTGGTAAAATAAGGCACTTTTTAGTTAGGGGAAACAGCCTGTATTCGGCAGTAAAACTGAGCAAAAAAATCTGGGAGAGGTCATTATTTTTTCACTTTTCAATACCTCTACCAGGAGTCGAATTTGGGACCTCTGACTTACTTACTAGTCTTACGCTCTACTGAATGAGCTAGAGAGAAATTCTGCCTAGCCTAGTCGGTAGGAAGCGGCTAGTATTTTACCAGGGTGACATTAAGTTTGATGTTGGTTTATCAAGTGAATATCTCCTCTCCATATCTAGTTTACTATAGGCCCCAGCCAAGTGAACTGAAATGAGATTTATCATATGATACTACTTTCCTAAGATGTATGCTAATATGTAGTGACTGTCTTATGGTGTTAATTCTCTTATGTTTGAGAGTTTGGATATTTGGGACAGCATTTATCAATACTTTTTTTTCTGTAGACAGGGATGATTGGGGAGCATTTATTCTCCACCCTTCACAGAAAATCTCCAACCCTCGTGATTTATTTTGGTTGTCTAACCAAAAAACGTCACACCCTCAAGGTAGGGGAAGATTTCATAAACAAAATAGCTTATTTTCTTCATGATAAAACAAAGAGAAAATGGATATTTATTGTAGCAGGGGATCAAACATTGAAACAGCATCAAATATGGTAAAGTTTCTTTTTTCTGTTAGTCGCATAACAAAGGATAATTTTGTGAAAAGTAAATTGTTCTTTTAAAATTTGTCATTATTTTGTATTACATCATATCAATATCGTCTTGTTGCTTTTCACGTTGAACCCAAAGTGCTTTAGTTCATTTATATATGTAGTCTAATGTTGTTGAAATCATTTGTATATCAACTACAGTCTGGGACATTGTACAGTGTAATGAGGCTGTGGGTTATTGATATCACCCGTCCTCTCAGAAATCCAGTGTCCATACAGTAGTCTTTTGTTTCATTGCAAAGCATTCTGTATTTTATTTTGCTGCTTGAACAATTTTTCGTCCTTTCTTCAAAATGGTACCATAAAAGTATTAATTTTTGTTGACTCAAAATGTAAGCGTGTTACATAAGTTTTAACACATAAAAATATTGTCTCTTTAGGGTTGCATGGGCAAAAAAACAAGGATAGGTAGGTCAATTTTTTGTTTTTGTTTTTTTCATCAAAAAGTTTTAGGTCGGGGGTAAAAAGCTAGGGTTGGTCGGGAACCCTAAACAGACATATATTTTTGTTTGGCCTTAGTACATTGATCAATTGGCCCACTCATAATATATTGCAATGAGAAATTATATAGAGAAACTTCAATAAACAGTTATAGTTAAGCACACAATCTATGACATGAAAAGCACTTCAATTAAATACCTCTAGAATATGTACGCTTACGATATGGTTTAGTTGAATTGTTAGCTGTTGAGATGTTGTTTACTGTCATTACTGCATCAACAAAGGTCAACTTTTGAGCGCTAACTGGGGTCAAATATCAACATTTGCCATACAATTAAGTTAAAAAAAAAATCTCAATTAATTGTCTATTTCATATGAGATTCATAAAATTTGCCTTTTTTTTCATTTTAACTTGAATGACAAATTCTTAAGACTCATTTCGTAAAATTCATATGAAATGTAATCACATGATTAATAATTTTCTGGTCTTTGTAAGAGTATAAAGTGAAGCAGTCTTTGGTGTGTATCTAATGTTTCCATTGTGACGAGGTGGCCGAGGGGTCAAGGTTTCTTTCTACCTATGATTAGTCACTGATTTGATACAGGCCAAAGGTGGGTGCTTATTTTCATGGTACTCTGGTTTTCCTCCACCTAGCTCCAAAACCTGGTACATCCTTAAATGACTAGCTGTTAATAGGACGTAAAACACAAACAAACCAGACCATTGTGACGTGTAATCTGAAAGGTTTATTTTTATATATTTTTATTATTACTTGCCGATATAACCATTGGTATATTACACGAGTTCATACGCAAACATGTGACCGGGTTATTTATTTTTTACAGAGAGTTATGGTAATGATGTGATCAATTTGTATATGCTGTATATAGAATACTTTGTCATATCACAGGAAGCAATGCCGTGATTTCTTTAATTTGCCACAGACAAAGTTCACTTTTCTTTTTAACTCTTGCCAAGTTTTTGACAAGATATATCATTCACTAGATGTCAGTACAGCTAAATCCATCATCTACAAATCCAAATGGGATTGATGAAACTGCACGTTTTAATCATTTCAGGGTTTCATGATAAAATGGTGTCCTGGGTATAGAAAGATTCGGATCCTTTTTGATTCGTGGGAATCTCAAACTTGTTTCATGAAAAACGTTTAAAAAACAGAAAAATGTATAAAATCAGAATTAGTTGGAGATCCTCTATGTGCATTATAAAATTTGTAATTCAAATATAAATTGCGAAGTGTGCACCCTTCTCGTCTTCACAAGAACATGTACAATAGATGAACTTCTTTTGATTTGTATATAAATGATCTTGTCATACTTGAATTTGTGATTAATTCCGAGTCAAATGAACATGAAAATAAATATCACACACAAGATATATTTTTTCTCTGACATTGAACAGATTATTTTCTTTCTTGCTGGGGAAAAGATTAGTACAATATTTACTCACCTTTGGGGTAAGACAGAAAATCTCAGCCCAAAGGGTAAGATGCTTAAATGTCCAGCCCAAGATCTTACCGAGGGCCAGACTTGTAAGAATCTTACCCTGGGGGTTGATATTTTTCAGTCAAACTTCTAAAGTGGGGAAAGATTATTTTTCTTCCACGTCAAATCCATATGGTAATTTCATGAAATGCATACATTGATTTCGTATTTCCAGCAAATCAGAGTTATCTTTGGTGGGCTGCTATTGTTGACATGAAATCATACAATTGACCTAACAGGGAATCCCCCTGTATCTACCCAAGGGTGAGACAGAAACATGTTTCCCTGACGGAAAGTCTAGATATCTCTACCTAATGGGGGAGAAACACAGCTCACAAGCAGTTATATACTAAAAACATCACTTCCCTTTATTATCCAGTGGAACTCCTCTGTGATGTAGACAGTGAAATCTCAGCCCTGGGCCTAATAAGATCAGGTTTTGGAAGCTTTACACAAGGCTTTGCCGAGTGCTATAATGAAAAGATATCAACTTCAAGTTGCCAACTTCTTGAGATTTCCATGGGGGAGAATACGCATGCTAGAAATTAAAACATAGATAAAATGTGTGTATGTACACTCTACGGAAAAAGTGGCAGTTTTAAATGGCAACTTTTGACCTGTTCGTTGAGATGAAATAATCAGATCTTAGAAAATAGAAATAATTTAGCAAATTCACTTGTTGAAAATGCTCAATGTTAGGGTCCAAAATAGGGAGAGCGGGCAAGTATGGATTTGTCTACATCTTATATAAGTGATGAACTCTACTAATCCACAGTACTGCCATTAGGTTGATTTATATTTTGCACAACAAATATTCCAGTAATTGAACAAGGTTTTTACTATAATGCTAGGTTGAGGTCATGGTCTAAAGCTGTTGTTAACGTATTCGGAAACTTCAAATATTAGATTTTAGGACTTCTTCTTAGCATGAAAATGCATTTTGTTAACCACTTAACCAGGTATTTCTGTTACAAACTTTTTTTTTTTTTTTTTATGAATTACCGTCGATCCATTTACAGATGTACATGTGTATTAAATAGTCTTGTTAGCCCAGATGGAAATGTGCAGGGGTCTTAAATATTGTGTCCGTCTATATATATGACTTCACACTGATTCAATTGACTGAATATTCCTGTTTCAAAAGCCAAGTCTATAATCAGAATCACCTGTTCTCTTGTTTCCCTCACTAGGTTTTGTACATTTTATTAAGGACTTGTTGAATATGCTGTTACTTGTTGAAGATTCTATATTTATTTTCCTGTTATTGTGTTTGTAAATTACATATGCGGATTTGTGTGATTGTGTTTAAATGTGTATGATGATTGTTGTACAGATTAGAATCAAACAGGAGCTGAATTTGAAGTTGTATTTGTTATTTTTAAGTTTTATAAAGTGTTTTCCTACACCTCATGGACAAGGATAGCAGGCAGTCCGGAATTTTATTATAAAGAATGTCTTTACAGATGTAGAAGTACAGCCGGACTTAACTCCACTTACAGAGCCACTTTATATTACCAACACCTGACGTTACTGACACCTGGGCCTGTATTCCTGAAACCATTCCCATGCTCAAACCCATATTCTATACTCAAGCCAAATTTATTATTCACGTAATAAATTATTAAAAAGTCATATTTTATCAACTATTTGGAAGAATTTTACACTTGCATCCCAATAACATTTAAAAAGCATATATTTGACATTCTCAATGTCGCCTGATTTAAGTTGATTTCATAATAATCAGTTTGAACACTGAATGTGGGCCCTGACTTAACCGACACCCGAATTAACTGATACATTTACAATAATGTAATTACTTCACTTGACTTAATTAAACACCTAGCTTAACCGTCGCATAGTCCTAACTACTGACACCTGACTTTACCTAAACCTGTCACATTGTCAAAGAAAAACTAAAAGGCTTGTTTGTAGGTAGGAGATACAGCAGACTAAGGGTTTGTCCATAGATAGACTGAGGGTTTGTCCATAGACAGAATGAGACACAGCAGACTGAGGGCTTTTCCATAGATAAGATGTGACAGCAGACTGAGGGCTTGTCCATAGATAGGATAAGACAGCAGATTGAGGGCTTGTCCATAGATAGGACGAGACACAGCAGACTGAGGGCTTTTCCATAGATAGGATGTGACAGCGGACTGAGGGCTTGTCCATAGATAGGACCAGACACAGCAGACTGAGGGTGTGTCCATAGATAGGATGAGACACAACAGACTGAGGGCTTGTCCATAGATAGGAT